TTCATGAAGTACAACATCCCATCAGTGTCGCAAAATCTCCTGTCAGTGAGTGACCACTGACCCGGACTAGGGTGAGATAATGAGTTGGATCACCAGAAGAACAATATATACCTGTTTAGCAATACTGCAGTCTTCAGCACAGCTTAGACAGGATGCCACCATGATTTGCAAAAACAAGGCCGGAAATGAATGTACTGCACAGCATTTGGCACCATGAATTGGTGAAGCATGGGTCAGCTCTTTGGTAATATGGAGCTATTGAACGATGGTCGATAAACGTGTCAATTCTCTTTCAAATGAGACAAACGAACTGTGTCCATGCAAATGTGACTTCGCCTAGCAACCAGTGACTAAGGTAGAGATGACTAAGATGTGGTCATGTGAGGGTTTCTTTTTTTTATTGTATTAATTTACATTTTGAGTTTAACCACAAAAAACAGTTTATGTGGCATAAACACGTGAGCAGATATGAGACAGTGGGTCCCTGAGCACAGACATGCAAAAGGTCCCACCACCTCTCCTGCACACGAGCAAGACACACGACTTTGTGGTGGGTTTGCCTCTTTCTACGTCGTCGTGTGTCTCTAGAGGTAGATTTATGTCATCTTTGGTTATTTTGTTTCTGTTTGAGGTTATTTTTTTGTTTTTTTAGGTAAGTTTGTGCCTTTTTTTGTCATTTTGTGTTTTGTCAAGAACATTTTGTGTTTCTTAAAAGCCGTTTTGTGTCGTCCTAATTCAATTTGCATCTCTCTATAGTCATTTTGTGTTTTTTTTTAGGTAATTTTGTGCCTTCTTTGAATGAATGAATTAATGAATTTCTTTTTATTTCGAAGATGTGCAAAAAACAACAAAACAAACAAACAAAACAAACAAAATTAAATTAAAAATTTACTTAAAAACATGCAAGAATGACCTTAAAGCACCATAAGCAATAAACCCAAACAATGTGTTACATGTCCGAAAAGGAGTAGGTAGAAGTTTACACTTATTAACTCCTACCCCTTTTATACATAATCATAATTCACATGTGCTACCCAATACAACACCAATATAAACAATATAACACTATCCCTAATATATAAACATCCCAATGTCATATAAATATAAACAACTATCACTATTTACAATCAATATTTACAACAATCGAAATATAATGCTATCCCTATTTATATACAACCCAGAACAATACAAAAATGACTATCCCAACGTATATACAACCCCATATAATACAAATATAAACATTGTTACCCATCCTCCTCCATATACCTCTCTAGAAAAGTGTTTTTGAACTGATTTGTGTTTGTACTTTTGGTCATTTTGTGTCTCTCTGAGGGCATTTTGTCTGTTTGAGGTTATTTTGTGTGTTCCTTTAAGGTGATTTTGTGTCTTTTTTGAGGTAGTTTTGTGTTTTTTTAAGTACTTTTGTGCCTTTTTTGGTCATTTTGTGTCGTCCTAAGTCACTTTGCGTCTCTTTGAAGTAATTTTGTAGGTTTTTTTTATTATTAGTGTTTCTTTGAGGTCATTTTGTGTTTCTCAAAGGTTGTTAAGTGTTGTCCTAAGTCAGTTTACATCTTGTTGAAATCATTTTGTGTCTCTTGGGGTAGTTTTGTGTTTTTTTAAGTACTTTTGTGCCTTTTTTGGTCATTTTGTGTCGTCCTAAGTCACTTTGCGTCTCTTTGAAGTAATTTTGTAGGTTTTTTTT